AGGAGTGCATCCAACCGCGACCTGTAATAGATTCAATTAATCAGAAGCAAAAAGGGGAAAAATAACAAGAAGTCTGCAGCAGAATTCAGCATTGGCGCCTCTCCCACATACTTTCTGACAGACGAAAGATAGGCGACAGTTTAAAAGTTACTTTCAGAAGAGTGTCACTCAACAAGGGATATCTATCATATTAATGTCAGATATATTTTGTCTTCCTGCAAAAAGCAAGGCGTGTACTAACAGTTTTTTTCTAAGAGTCTGGAAATTTTTCATGTTTAAAACGCTACCCTGCTATTAAGGAAGCACCGCTTGTAGCAAGATGCAAGAAACAATGTTTCAGCTAACTTCACCCCACGTACTTTTCCCCAGGCTCCCAGAAAAAGCCATTAGGAGACCGGATACTACGTTTACTGTGTGAAAGCTTTGGATAAAAGCCTCATATGTCCACTGTAATTGTGAGAAACTTCGAATGTGTTTTTTTAGCAGACTAGTACTTCTCCTTGAAACTTCATTTTCCCTGGGCGCTGTGCAAAAAGGCACAACGCATCATGTGAAATGACAGACCAAGGAGCTTTTCCGACACCCGGCGCATCCACAGCGTAAAAGCGGGGGATAAGTCGTTTTTCTCTCCAGTGAACCAATCGCATTTGCTGGGAGCTTTCGAGGTGAAAACAATATTATCAGCTGTCTTCGGTGTGAAACTTTCTTCTTTCTTCAGCCACAAGGCAAAAAGACATTAGACGTCAAGCACTGAGTTATTTGGACGCCGGCCGTGACATTCAGAACACAAAAACGTCGGGCAAAACTTTCATTCCGACCAAGCTGCTACATGATTGCGGAAAAGCTCGGAAAGTGGAGGCGATGTTTTCAACTCATTTCATCTGGAAGCCTCAGCTCCCCGAGGCACAGGGTAAAAACACATTAGCGCAGCTATTTGGACACCAGCTTTCAAAATTCAGACAATAAAAGTGGCCAACTTTCCGGACGCAAGTCTACAACTATGTAGTGTAGTGTAGTGTAGTGTAGTACAATGCAGGGCTGTGGTAAGCTGTGCTATGCTATGCTGTGCTATGCTGTGTCGTTGTGCTATACTGTGCTGTGTTATGTTGTGCTATGCTATGCTATGCTGTCCTGTGTTGTATTGTCTTGTGCTGTGCTGTTGTGCTGCGCTGTGTCGTGCTGTGTTGTGCTGTGCTATGCTTTGCTAGCATGCTGTGCTGTGTTATGCTATGCTGTGTAATGCTGTGCTGTGCTGTGTTGTGCTATGCTGTGTTGTGTTGTGTTGTACTGTTCTCTGTTGTGCTGTGTTGTGCTGTTTTGTTGTGTCCTGTCCCACATTCATAACCTTCTGGACTACCAACTAATCAAAAGATGATGACCAGATGATATGTACTAGTATATGAATGTGTCTGAGTAAGAACAAACAGAGCAGTGCTTTTAGGCTAGACTATGTGAAAACAATCATTATGCATTTCTAGTTCTTCTTTTGTTCTTCAACTTATAGTTCTTCGGTGGAATGTGAAAGTTCAGTAAATGATTCCAGGGGCGTGCTTGCAATTGACCCCGCAGACACGTAACGCTGCTACCGCCTGACCTGAGTTCAACACGCGGCCATCTAATTTCCTCCGCACGTCCAATGATGATGATGGCTATCTGCATGACAGTGGGGAGAAAGAGAGAAAGAGAGAACGAATGAACTGAATATTGGCAATTATATCATATGGTCATTTAAGCTCCTGTCATCAGTGATCCGGTATTACATTAGTTTGGAATTCTTTTTTCCATATGATTTGAAGGAAAATATGAAATGTAATGAAAGAACAGTATTTATTTGGAGATTCCAGTAGACTGAACCCAGCATGCCATGTTGACAGTCCGAGCCTCTACCAGGAGTCAAAAAACGACTGGAAAGAGTAGAAATTGACCAAATAGACAGATAACATGCCATCAGAGTCTCGAGAGTTCTTCTGCTGAAGGAGTACAGTTTGCCGCTCAGCGGACCAACTCTCCTGGCATGTCATCTGTTTATTTGGTCAATTTCTACTCTTTCCCTCCGCTTCTAAACCTTGGTAGAGCCTAGAAAGTCCAGTTGATCTGATATATGTCACGTTCTACATGTAGTAGACAGACGTGAAGGCTTGTTTAACAAAATACGGGATGTTTGAGACATTCAGATTGGAAGATTTTAAGAAGGTCGGCTTTCTTAGTGACCCAGGTGGAACGGGAAAGTCGCTGACGTGACTGTCGAAGACAGAAGTTCTACTGCAGATGTTTCTTCCGTGTCCTCGCGGGGGTACGTTACGCAATGGTCGATAAAAGATGTAGCCGAGTTAATCCTTCCATTATCAAGTTTTTTTAAAGTTTGAAAGTTTCGCAAGAAGAAAGGAAAAGTACTGCTTGAAGTTCCACACACATTTTAAATGAAGGCCGCAATAGCTGTGCACCCTGGGCGGGATGCCCTAGGTAGGGCTTTGCCCAGTATCGTATAGAACTAGAACTAGAAGGAAAAGACAGGGAAATTCACTAAAATAAGGTATTGAAAGTACCGAATAATTTGAACACATAGGGCGATTCTACGGTAAACTTGTGAAGATATTGAAAAAAACAACAACTAAACAATAGTACTGTAGATGCCAGTGTATATGTGCAAAACGCTTTGCAACAAAAAACTGCTGACTACAATAAATTAATTGAGAAAACCTAAACCGTATCCAACTATAAGCAACGTCATTGCACACTGCGTATATGAAAAGCCCATACGTACAGCTAAAAGGCAAAAATTGTCAAGTTGCAAAAGATTTTGCCAAACAAATCACAAAAAGCGGCAGGAATAAGCTGACAACTTCCTGTATAAAAAATGTCAGACTGCCTAAAGGAACGAAGATAGCTTAGATCACAATTCTTGGGTTGAGTTACAGGTGACAGATTATTCGCAATGCAGCACGAATGGCGTCCTGTGCCTCCTCATAGCAGAGTAGTCAACCCCTACTTCGCATAGCTATAGCCGCAAGAGAATAATAGAAAATATAGCTTACACCGGTCGTAGACTTGGCTTGACTTCTCTCACCTTTGTTTGAAAGATCTAATTTCCAGGATTTATAACCGTGCCAAAAGAAGGACAAAGCCTACATCATAACATCCAATATCTCGGCCTGAAAGCTTCTTATAGCATCATTCAAGCTTCAAGCGACTTCATCCTTTTACAGCATTTGTAGCTCCCTCGCACATTGTGAAGGTGGCAGTTTCAATTTATCATGTAGCCACATAAGATACCTCCTTCATGTAACGGCTTGGTGTTTCTTATATTGCCTGGCCTGCTTGACATTTATTTGATGTTGTAATAAAACAGCACCTATGTGACCCTTTTTTGGGAGTACTAGCTCAATGTTAGTAGAGTGGCTTTGGTGGTGAAATCGTTTTATCAAAGAGGATTTACTGGCGAAAACATAAGGGCTACGTTGAGGAAATGGAACCTTATAGGTGCAATACATTGTATGTAACATTTTTGCACGAAAAAATCTTCGTGTGATTGTAATTTGCTTCCATTTTTCAACATATTTGTGCAATTAAATCTCACATTTCGGACATTTGCGGTTGGCGCTAAAACAGCACCCACAAGCAAGGCGCACTCAATTTGTGGCACCATCACAAAATACCAGAATGTAAACAAACATGGCTGACAGCCGCATTTAAACACACTCGTAAGGTGTCGTATTATGGCACCTCCACTTCCTAGATCGACACTTCTTTCCAACGTAGTAGGGTTGATTCAACTCATTTTGCAAAGACCACAAAATTTACTTTTTTTGTATCGTCATAATGTTACATAATGCAGCTTTAAGGATATGACATGTCGAACAGATTTCTAGAGGAATCCAGAAATGTCTATGGTGGAGACCCAAAATAATGAACCTATCTCTGGACCTCACCAACCATGCTCTCATCAGTCTCATCAAGTCCCATTGCCACTCCTACAGCTTAGGCCATGTTGATTTGATTATATGGATGACATCCTCTGTGAACCTTAACTGATGCGAGCGTGCGAATAAAAAAAGTTTGGCAAAAAATAAAAGTTGCCTTCATTCTGAAATCTACGTGGTCATAAAGTTGAACAAACTACTAAACATACAGAATCTTTATTTTTATTCCTTCACATTTTTTATTTCCTTGGAATTGATTTGGCATTCTGTGATCGCCCTCCATATTTTTTGCAATCTTTGTACATTTTGCAGTTGCTTTGCACGATTTACAGTACGGTCGAAAACTTTCTTTTCTTTTCTTTTTTTGGAAACGGGCAAAAATGCATGCGCGCGTGGATGTCATCCATATAATCAAATCAACATGGCCTTACCGACGATTACTACCAACTCTGCTCCCGGTAGATGCCCGTTCATTACGCCGGTATGCGTGTCTAGCTTCCGCGGAAATCCCCGAATGAACCGACTGTCCACCTTAAGTGAAGACATTGCACTGGTTCAATCCATCAATTCGCACTAGAAGGTCTTTCTAATTTGTATCAGCAGACATGTTTCGTGCTACAAAAAAAGCACGCACAAACTGCACTGAATTTGTGGCACCACCACCGAAAATGCCAGAATGCCGACTTGTATTTCGGAGTATCAGCATTGAATATTTTGATCAGGAAGGCCGTTTACCCACTTTTTTTGTAATGCTATTATTTTTTATTGAAATAAAAGAAAGATCATAACATGATGCTATTATATTTCGTTATCACTTGACTAAGAAAAATACATGTATCAATCCATTAACTGGTGGTAAGACCACGCACATATTCTCTTGACGATTTGGACCAATCGTTTTGCAATGAAATGAAGTAAAAAGACAGAATAGGGTGAATTATTTGCAGCCACGGTTCCCTGGGTTTTAGACCTGCACTTAGTAAAACAGCTACTGGATGGCGCTACTGAGTGTACCATGAACACCAGTTTTGTGCTGCATTCTGTAAACGAATCGTTAGGGGCGCTTTTAGACTATGCAAGTCCAAAATGGCGGACGATCTGCAGGATGAATGGTGGCTACAAGACGACGAAGACGATTCTGCGAACAAGAAAGGTTTGCTGCTGGGTAGTTTCATGTTCATAACATCTTCAGTGTACCTTTGTTTATATGGTTTGGATGAAAAAGTGCACCGACCTTGTGTTTTTTAAATAGCCTACCCTTATTGTTGCCCCCCCTCCCCCTTTGGGAAAAAAATAGAAGCACGTGTGAGAGGGGTGTGTTCAGACACGATCGAATCGACATAAAAGTTGTTTAACAGTTACACGCAGATTGTTAACAAAGTGATAACTAATGTCATTAGTTTGCCACTTTTTGCCTCCATGAAAAATGGAGGTATATATATTGTTTTTCGTGTGTCTGTGTGTGTCCGTCTTTGTGTCTTTCTGTGTGTGTGTTTATGTTTCCGCACATTTGTAGTCATCATAACTTCAAAACGCCTTTATGGACTGTGATGATATTCGGTATGTTGGTAGGTCGTAGGAAGACAAAGGTCAAGGTCAAATATGGGTCTCCTGTTGGCTGACTTTGGTACTGCAGCAGAACATCCGGCTTTTGTATCTTTTGTCCTGAACATGCTATGGTCTAATTTTTGGTGACAGATAGCTTTTCCTGTCAGGAATAAGTGGTGTGGGTTTTGTCTACATATTTCATGGAGGTATGAGATCTCTGAATTCTTTTTTTTCAGTTGAACCTCCACAGTTGAATACAGACAACCGTAAACCAGCAAAGACAAAGTTAAAGAAGACTCCTAAGAGTAAGAGTAAGACTATCACAAGAAGCAGACCTGTCCAAGACACCGGCAAGAGGAAGCTAGACGATGTACCTGACTCAGCTGTCTCAAAGAAAAACAAAAGAAGAAGGAATAAGGTGGGCATAATACATATCAATACCCAAATACATTGACCTTTCAATGAATTTCGAAAAAAAAAAAAGTTTATGGTTCTAAATGTTCCAATTTTGTGCCAGACAAAAAATGTATTTGTTAGATGACAAAATGTAGACAAAGCAATTTCAGGGAAGTAACAGTGACACTGAATTCAGAGTCAATTTTCTTTAATGTAAGCTAAATTTACCCTATTCCATAGCATACTGATGAGGCAAAAAAAAATGTTGCTGATGGAAAACAATTGCATACGCTGGTTGTAGTTCTAGCTATTTATTGTTGGTACCAAAAAATAAAGGGTCATATAGCTTGTTTTTGGACTACTTGAAACCCTTTCCTCATCCCAGATATTCTTTATTTTGCCATCCTGAAATTGCATTAAATGCCTTTAACATTATACCAGAAAACTAAGTTGAAACCAAATTTTGCTACTGCTTCACCTTACATGTATAATTGATAGAGCATGAGCAATGGTCATAGGGATAGTGTTGATATGAAGGGTACATAAAATGTATTTTTTTTCCTGCTGCTATGTCTTAAAATTGGATTTGAAACACTATACTGAACCATCCATGCCAGTGTTCTTTACAACGAACTAACCTCTGTTGTCACAGAAAAAGATCAGTGAGCAGCTCCCATCAGAGCCCTCCATGCCAGACCCAGCTGATGTGATGTCAATTCTCCTAAGGGGTCAGAAGCTGGAGCTGACAGCAGTAGAGATGGAGGAACTCAAACTGGAAGGTAGGGAGAATTTATTCTTTCATCTGTTCACTCTCCATTTGTTGTCATCTAAATTCAAGAGCTTTGAGACAACGTTTTCAGCCTCAAAATACAAAATATGTTTTTAGAAAATATTAGGTTTTGCAGGTTCTTTTATCCACAACCATTTGTTTTAGATGAGCCAACATTTCGAAAAGCTAATGATTAAAATGACTGGTTTACTGTGAACAGTCATCAAATCAAGTCTATTCAATCATTTACCAACCTGATGAAATTATTTAAGAAAGGAAAATGTTTTTCTTTTTCTCCAGACAAGCACTTCTTGTCCCCAAATGACTTTTCCCACCCAAATATTTCATCATATCTTCAAGAAGGTAAGAGCTTGTAGTTGTACACTTATTATATACTTCTTCACTTTTTTCTTACCTTCAAGTTCAACCTACGTCCACATAATTTTCACATGTTCTCAATTTCATATTATTTTTTTTCTAATGACATCCCCTTTTTGTATAGTTGTTCCAGACTGGTCGTCCCTTGTAGACCCCCACGAAGCCAAGGGTGCCCCCTTGGTAATAGTCTTGACTGGTGCAGCCAAAAGAGCTGTTGATTTGAATAGGTAGGTGCCCCTTAATACTAACTTGTAGTTCTATTGGATTTAGCAGCCCCTGGATGCGGAAAGATAGCTTTTGTATATATACAAGTAATTACCTGTACCAGACAAATTTTATCTGCACCACTTAAAATTTAGCACACTAAAAACTCAAAACTGTTTAGAAACCATTGCTTCATTGTTTCATAGGTGCACGTGGTAACAATCCCTCTCTCTATATATATACAACAAACAAAAATCCACATACACCTACATTTGTATATAAACCTAATACATGGACCAGTGCAGGTTAGGTGCAGGTAGACATCAGAAATTCCCTCACAGCTCCAATTTTACCTGCACTAACCTGCATATACCCAGTACATGGACCAGTGCAGGTTAGGTGCAGGTAGACATTAGAAATTCTTACACAGCTCCAATTTTACCTGCACTAACCTGCATATACCCAGTACATGGACCAGTGCAGGTTAGGTGCAGGTAGACATCAGAAATACCTGCACAGCTCCAATTTTACCTACGCTAACCTGCATATACCCAGTACATGGACCAGTGCAGGTTAGGTGCAGGTAGACATCAGATATACCTGCACAGCTCCAATTGTACTTGCACTAAGTGATTACACATTATACATTCGCTTTGTTTCAGACAAAAATATGACTAGTAAGAGTTTGTAATGTACTACACCAAGACTATTGAAAACAATATTTAGTTTTCAAATCAATTTTTTATCATGACCACTAAACAAATTATCCCTTTATAAAATCTTTTCCACAGAGATTCTACAACTTTCAGAGGGAAGGCAAGGTCTATAAAACTGTTTGCCAAACACATCAAGGTAACGTTACATGAACAATGACTGTTGTCAGTTTTGACTTTTCTGTGTTCATTTTGTGAAGCGTATACTATACTATATGGTATTCAGATGTTTAGTTCAAGGTGATTGCTACATACATAACATATTTACTGTGTCTCATACCCACAATTCTTGTTTCTATCTTAAAAAAGCTTAGGAAAGATGTAATATATTATAGGCTTGAGTCCATGTAGCTGCACTTTTGTCCTTTCAGGTGCAAGATCAGGTGGAACAGCTGTCTAAACAGGTGGTGCACCTGGCAGTGGGGACACCTGCAAGGGTAGCCACTCTCGTGGAGGAAGGTAGAAACACAGCCTTTAATTACCATTATTTTCAAGCCTGTAGCCATATTCATTGCTGATGATAACTAGTGAGAAATAATGGAAAAACAGCTAGTTTGTGTTAGCCTACCAGGCTTTGGGGAGGCATCTGGAAAGAGTAGAAATTGTCCAAATAGAGAGATAACATGCTGGTAGAGTTGGGCTGCTGGTTGGTCTGCTGTACTCTCTAGCAGACCAACTCCCCTGTCATGTTATCTCTATTTAGTCAATTTCTACTCTTTCCACCCTCCTCCACCCTAGGGTTCAAAGATGGCACCCACAGTGTCATCTGTTAACACATTGGGACAGTCTACAATAGGACATGATCTCTAAAATTTGTATCTCCGTCATATCTTGTCCATGTGCTTTGTGTAAGAAGACCAGATTCTAGGTCCCTTGGGTGGCTGTCTTTAGACAAGTTTGAATATAAAAGTGTGCAAATATCAGAGATTGATCTAATGGCACCACCATGCACTATAACCTACTGTGTTGTGTTCAGATGCTCTGAGGTTGGACCATGTGAGATGTGTAGTTCTGGACTGGACCTACCGAGATGTCAAACTCAGGAGGCTCTGTGACATTCCAGAGGTCAGTGTGGTTACAATCCTGGCAGTTATCTTCTTTCTTGCTTTTTTCTATCTTTTGTGCTCCCCCCCTCATTCACTCACAGTCACCCATTCTCACACTCACTATAATAAATAGATGATGCTAGAGTTTGAGAAGTACATTTTTTATTCATTACTAAGGCCATACCAATTTAATTTGTTGGTTCTGGATTGTTTCAGAAAAATATGAAGCGATAGGGCGAAAAAAGAAATAAAATAAAAACAGGTCAAGGCATCCTATTATAGCCCCAAATGGTATGATAGGGGCCATGAAGTCAACACAAAAGGCTGGGTTAATAATATTTAAACAATGAATTTTGAACTTTTGATCAAACCACTGCATTGATAGATGGAAAAACTGTAAAAACTAGGAAGAAAAGGACTTTCCTCAACTGTTGAGGGCAAAACATAAGCTAGTGTGCTACATGGAAGGGCAGTTATACTAGCTATACAGATACAGGTACAGAAGCTGGTGTGTTATGCCTTAGGGTGGTTATACAGACCACAGTTACAGATACAGATGCAGATTCATGCTACCAATATGATGAGTTTGAGTTTGAGTGAGTGAAATATTCCATAGTGCATACAATGCTAAACACTTTAGTGCCTAACTTTGATGTTTCTTTTTACATTTCAGGTACGAGGTGATCTGTTCCAGCTTTTCAGGAAACATCTCATACCACTAGCGAAGGATGGTCTACTGAAGTTTGGGCTTTTCTAGACCTAAATAGAGAAATCTTGTCTTAGCCAATGTACCAAAAAGACTACCTGCATTATTTGAAGCTCAACAACATCTATATATCCAAACACAGGTTTCTAACAGAAGCAAAACTGATATTTTTTTAGTCGGATAAGAAGCTGTCTTTAACAAAAATCTGTTCAAAATGAATGTGACTGCACACTACCTGAATATGGAATCATTACACTGAGGAGTATTTTGAAACTACAGATCCTGAGTTCAATGGTGTAGTATACCCTGCAGTACTGAGCAAGATTACTAGGTGGCATCACTGAGTGGAGACCAGAATACGGATGATCATAATAAAGCGAGGTGTGGCACGTGTATAACGTTTGTTTGTCATCTATTCGTCTTTGGTTACAAAATAGACACAAATTATCGTTTGCAATATAGATAGCTGTGACCAGAGACATTGTACTTGCTGTGACATTTGTCTTTTAACTACCTATTTGCCCCAACAACTTATTTGCCCCAAGAAGGAGAAAAGAATGTGTTTTTTTGGTATTAGTATTTGTTCATTATTATATACTAGTATACTGCTTAGATTATTGGTCCATATGAAGGTAGCAACATTACTGTAGTGTGTGTTTGAGTTAGGACATTGTGCCAATGACTTTTTGACACTACATCAACACAAAAGAAACGGTCCATTGTGTAACCTTTCACCATGTATTATCTATATATATATGCATCCATGGCTGGCAAAAAAATAAGGAGGAAAAAAAGTTGAAAATATCTTTATTCACCCACAGATAGCTATTTATAGACAAGTTATGCAGGGTTCCTGAGGATGTCATCCATATAATCAAAACAACATGGCCCAGCATGGTTGGAGAAAAAGTTCGGCAGTGTTCAGGATACTATATCCGGCTGTGTGTGCCAGGGTTTTTAACCTTTACCTTTTCTCTCTGGCAGTAGAGATAGATCCCATGACAAACATCACATAACCCTCTGTATGACAGGTGAGATACCACAATAAACCTCCGCTTCAGTTAGACAAGACAGTCTACTGGACAGTTCCAATCCCTCCGTGCACCCGTACACATGGTAACATCACTAAACATTTGCAGACGCATCAGTACAAAATGTCACAGATGGCCCTGGATTAGGAAAAAGAGTAAAAATGTTGACTTTTTGCCCACACTGGTATTTGCGATGATCTCTCTAAAAGGTTTGCTGTGCTTTTATTTAATCGTGTGGACAGTTTTAAGGATGGACGTTGTCAAAACAACGTACTGTATTAACATAAAGCAATTTGAGCGTACCTAAGAGCTCTATGCTCCAATAGAGATCAAATGACGTGTGTCTTTGGCGTGTGCTATGTGTAGCCTCCTTCGCAGACTTGTAGGGTGGCAGCGTTATTACCTTCGCCAAGAAGGTTATGTTTTCAGTAGCGTTTGTGCGTGGTTTAGCAAGATAACTCGAGAAGCAGAGGATGGATTGGAATGAAACTTGGTAGGTGGGTAGGTCTTCATGAGACCTAGAAATGATTAGATTTTGGGCCCCCTGGCGGCTTTCCTAGGTACATGTACTTAAGCTGAACTTCCAGTTTTGATATCTCATGTTCTGGACATGCTAGGGTCACGAATTTTGGTTGGTAGATAACTCTTGGGGTAGGGAAGAAGTGACATGAGTTTGGGTTGTCCTAGCGGCTTGTTCTGGAACTGCAGGAGCATTTGTTGAAAAAAAAAAATTGAAGGACGATACTGAGGGAGTTAGGGGCGAAACCGTTCTCTCCCCGGCAAAACTCCCTCGGCGGCAAAACCGTCCCTCTGCGGCATAACTCGCGTCGCTCCCCGAAAAAAAATAATACCGCCGCCACCCTACAAGTCTGCGAAGGGGGCTATGCTATGTGCACTATTTAGCATTTCCAATTGTTGTAGATGTAAGCTTTTTTTTCAATCAAAGAACCGTTTCTATGATGTTTATATTTGGTATAAGGAAATGATTGCATAGAAACGCTCGTTCGCCCTACAAAGGTGAGGAAATATTGGCGTTAAGAGAAGGACATGCATTTGATGTTTTCATTCGCCCACCCCCTTCATTTGCTTCTACTTTATACAGTCACACGGTGTGTGGTAACACATTGTATAACAACAATAAATATGTTTTTTAAGCTGGTCAGGGGCCAAGATGGGAATACGTATAAGTGGCGTGAGTGTGATGACGATGTGTGGCTCAAATAACTGGTCACCTTAGTGACTTGAATTGGACTAAATGTTAACACTAGGGAAGCAACGCTTGGGATGCTTGATACTGATGAGTTATACGAACCGAAATAGTGTTTGGTTTTTGTATACTTCGTTTATATCTATATTGTAATTATACGACTGATTGTAACTGAACTGAAGAATTTGCAAAGACCCGGCCCCTGACCTACCTCCCCTTGACCTCTTGAAAAACGGCTCAGGCCGAAGATACGTACCGCTACACACATGTACTGTACATTTTCAAGGTGAAATAAAGGTTGAAAAAAAAACTATGTTGCAAAGGGGCCAGGTGAAAACAGGAATGCTGAACATGCCTGACGCACAGAATAGATATAACAATGGGCCTGAGCTCTGATACAAAATGTAAACAAGAAGAAATCTAAGATTTCATACCTCCGGGTTTATATAGGTATAGTATTTAGGAAGTTTTTGCAATATGATGTCTCTATTCTAGACGATGCGTTTATTATCATTATGTAACGGTGGTCCTGGTAATTTAGATGTATGTCACTGATACATGTGTATTTCAAACCTTTATGTTTTTTTTAAATAGCTGTTAAAAGTACAAAGAATGTTACAGCTGCGAACATACATGTACAAACATCGGCCAAGAACAGAGCCCTTCCGCGGAAGGATATCTCCTTCCCCGAGGCAATTATTTGCATGCCACCCAACCGTCGAACGTAATACTCCGCGTGAAACCGGAGGCCTTCTCGACCCCTGTAAAATTACGGAGATTTAAAAATCTCATTATAGTATAATTAGAATCTATTAAACATTATTGGTGCTTTCATTCACTACTATTTCTGTCAACCAATAATTGAATGACTTAAAACCTTACCTATAGAGTACGACAAGAAATGTTTTCTAATTTACTTTTAAAGCAGCCAATTTTAGGCCAATTCCCGGGTACATTATGTTGTCTGGAGTTGTGTTGATGGTACATTAGTACAGCAGGTATTCCCATGGGGTTTGTCAGACGTAATTTGGCGCCTCTTCCATCAGAGGTACTTGACTGGACTGTCCGACCCTTTCATGTTTACTTTAATTTCATTACTGATGAGCTTTTTGAGTTAAAGGCATCCAGTGCAGTTTTTAGGGCTTACAAACCCGATTTTTCAAAGTCAACATTCTAGTCACTTATCTACATACTTAGTTGAAACCACACTGTCCCAATGTATAGTGACCCCCATGGAGCAAAAATACCAAAGATTCTGACGAAAAATGGTTACTGGAAGGGCCCTTGGCTGATTATTAGGGTACCGCCCATAGAATAAAGGACTCGTCTTGGGGCTAGTTTCTACAGTTTTAAATACTCAAAGTATGAAATACAGATTGAAATGTGCATATGTGGCAGTATGTGTCAATATCATAAAGATTGCCTTATTCAGAATATGTCCAGTTTTGCTGCACTGAAATCGCATTGAATGCATGTAAACTCACACAGACAACTGCAGGTCTTTCTGTACTTAGTGTACAGCGTTGCATAGTTCTAGTGAAAAGCTGTGTTAGTGTTATTCTGTTTACCGTTGGAGGTGTGAATTAATTACATGTAGAATCGACCACAAAAGGTACAAGTCATGTCAAACGCTATAACTTTATTTCATCTTTTATTTATCGAGGCATTGATTTATATTGTGCGCAACAGTACCTCCTTTGTTATTTATTCAAAAGTATCACGCGAATTTCAAACAAATAATCAAGCAATGTGCTGCTTTGTGCGGTCTTTGGTTGGCAGAGGTAGTGCTGGATGACGTCACATCCGGAATGTACGTCACTTCCGTCCCAGGACAGTGTCGACGGAGTCGCGGTACACGGCGTCGGGCGGCGGCTTCCTCTGTCCTCCCGACAGGAACTTCGCCATGTTGGGGAGGGCGGACACCCGGTCTCGGAACTCCTGTAGGGCGGGAGAACATGACAAGTTTATTATGTTTACCGAAGGAAAACATATTGAGTAAAGCAAGGACATTATACACACATATATCTGTGTATAATGTCCTTACGTAAAGAGACTCTTTTTTTACACAACCAAGTCTTTTATACAGCCAAGCCTCAGTGTCATACCGACCTGATGAAACTATTCACGGAAGAAAAAAATATTGTTTTTGCTCAGTTTCTTCTTCTTCTTCTTCCGTTCCAAACACTATAATTATTAAGGTCAATGACCAGGACCAGACGTCTCTCACCACGGTAACTGGTTACATAGTGTTGCAAGTGCCATGCAGAACTTCATACTTCATAAAGTGTGATAAAGAAGACAACAAAACTTCCCACAACATCAAATAAAATGAGAACATATACACATATATCTTCCAGATGAAATAAGCCTATATTTCTTGCGTCCGTCAGCCACCCCCGTTGAGCTGAAAAACGGTTTGTCCCTATAACCCTTGTCACCATTAAACGACGTGACAACGGTGGTTTAAAAGAATACAGTGGACCACACGGAGATGAGCTATCGATAGAAACAAATTGCAGCTTATCACAAACCAATTGCGGGGAGACGATTTTATGACAGGCAAAAAATTACCACCTAAAGCCAAGCACTGGCCCATGGAGAGAAATCGCTGTCAGCCAATCCATTCTAAAATCCATACTGGTATTTTACTCATAAAACACTCTATACTTCTTGTTTTCCATCTAAAAGAATCTGGTGTAAAATCCATACTAGTATTTTACTCATAAAACACTCTATATTTCTTGTTTTCCATCTAAAGGATCTGGTGTAAAATCCATACTAGTATTTTAATAACAAAAAACACTCTATACTTCTTGTTTTCCATTTAAAAGAATCTAGTGTAAAATCCATACTAGTATTTTACTCAAAAACACTCTATACTTCTTGTTTAGATGGGAAATTGGCTGCCAGCCTTGCTTCTGGGGTTAGTAGAGCATAAAGAAACATACCGTTTGGCAGTGAAATAGAAAAGACCGTGCGTATTGATCGTGAGTTTTTTATTGTAGGGATCCTCGTTTGGTATTGATTCCCATTTGGTCGGACATAAAATGAACATGGAAACCTTTTCCGGGTCCGAAGTAAGTGCAGGGTAGTTTTTCGATTTCCTATATTATCCATACTACCACAGTGAGTGTTTGGCAATGCGTATTGCCAAGAAAACGACTAGGCTAATCTTATAATACGGAATATTAGGTATGAAAAAGAAATATAACGATAACTGAATAAACGGAACATATACGTAAGATTGGGTTACAATGAGACCCATACACAACTGGTCTAAGTACATTTCAGTACCAAGGACATGATCTATGCACTACTGGTGTAGTACATAGAGTACATTTTAGCACCAGGGACATGACCCGTACACTACTGGTGTAAGTACATTTCAGCACCAAGGACATGATCCGTGCGGGTGTAAGTACGTTTCGGAACCAAAGACATGATCCGTGCACTACTGGTGCAAGTACGTTTCAGCACCAAGGACATGATCCGTGTACTAATGGTGTAAGTACATTTCAGCAGCAAGGACATGATCCGTGCACTACCGTGACATAATCTGTACACCATATTTGGTGTAAGGACATGACCATGTGCCTAGTCTCTCAAACGTCTTTAGGGGTACATGAGATGAAATCATTTGTATGAAAATGCTCCATTTCGCTATCCAGTGTGTGGAATTACTAATTTTCGTCGTCTGAAACAACATTTTCCCTTACATACTTGGCCACATATTGTTCAAAATTTTCCTTTGTTTCTAACAATACGTTCCTACCAACTTTCGGTTCAGCCCCTGACATTTAAGGTTGTGTACATAGAGATCTAATCCTGGATTTGTGCACTTCGGGAAGAAATGCTGATTCTAATGTATCCATCTATATGCGCGCCCTGCGGTAGACCAGGCGTAAAAGCCACGCTCTTTACGTGACATATTGTAGAGCATCTGCATCCCATTAACATTCAGGATGTTACCCGGAATTAATAGGGAAGACCGCCGAGGGAACGTTTCAAAATATACAAAATATATACACAGCAGTAAAATCAGTTCATTCCTTTATTTGGTCATTCTTATCCCAAACGCACGTCTTTTAATGCAGGTAAAAACTTTAAGGTGTGTTTTTTTTTCTGTTTTATTTAACCAGGGTAGAAACCTCAGTGCTATCTAAAAACACTGCTTTTTAGGAATGCCCTGTAACAAGTTACACATGAAAACAATGAAAATCGACACATTAAACAATACATAAAGTTACAAAACAACCAAGTGTCAAAACCTACTTGACTGAAAAGCATGCCACGAATTCACATTGGAACTTCTGCAACGGTTATTAAAAAGTCTCGGTGGCAAATGTGCAGATGTTGTCACATTGGCGCACCAATTCCGTAGCGTGCTTTTTGGCACACCTTTTGACAGATAAGCCAAAAAGGCTCGGTGGGTGTCATTCTCGCGTACAGGGAGGGAAGCCGTGTGAATTGCCTTTCCCACACAGTGTTGGGCCATGGTGAGTATCGAACCCGGGACATATTGGGTCCGAGTCCAACGCTCTAACCGTTTCGTCACCGACGAGAAAGATTTAGACATTGAGACTGTCCCTGTTTGTGTGATGGGTTTAGAAACACATTAAACCGCAGCAGAGCGAGACTTGTGCGGGATGTTCTCTCTCTAATGGTAAAATTGACAGGCGATTGTGCTGGGAACCGCCTGGGTCATTAGGGCAGGATTTACTTAAACCTCTAAAAGCCACTCAAGTCTGCTCTTAGTGCAAACAGCGTCTCTTTCTATCGCTACTTTTACCTCTTTAGAACATCATCATTTTGACTCATGGGATAGACTGGAGTGGGTCGATGTTTGCATTTGTTGATAGCCTTGAGTTAAGCGGACTCTATATGTTAATTCTTTGGATGTACGTAGCATCTTCGAAATACACCCAAAGCTGATACATGTATGCCTGTAATGTATTATATACTCGTACCAGTAGAAAATGAAGCAAGACGATTTCTATCAGCACTAGTCATTGGACAATGTGACTTTACACTCAAGTACTACTTATTTTACAACGCCACATACACGTACACACATAACAATACTAGAGTGATAGAGTGATTTGTACAGTACTCCCCCATAACATGTTTTTATTAAGTAGTAACTAATCACGATACATAACTTTATATGAGGAGTAAATATTGTGAGTTGTGAGTGTTGTGATCACTTCTATATCTATTTGATGGACATGTACATCAGTCAAATAGAGATAGAAGTGCCTTGAATATATGAGTGCTCTTAGTGCATTGAATATATGTTTATGATATATGGGAAACGATTTCATAAACCTTCTATCACTATATGGTTGTACTGGCTATGCTGCAGCGTGCAAACAAAGAGAAAAACCCCGACAAGACACAGACTCTCACGGGACGGCACAATCTCATCATCACGATAGAATTAGTCGGGAGTGAGCAAATATTATTACCGATCCGTGATAGGGTTAGTGACCTCGGATTGACCTCATTTGACCCCTGATGACAGATTGCTTATCATCGCGTCAACAGCGTCACATCTAGCTCCGCGGTTGGCTGCTTCCATTTCATTTCAATTCAAATCTAACGTTTTTGTATGCGTTCAACCTTTTCCACATGCATATGATGTAAAGCGCCTAAGGGGTCATGATATATACGATATACTATTAACGTTATCCAGATTATATGTATATACAGTATATACAGAGCTAGTTTCCGGGCGAATCCGTTCCCCACTTCCCAACTTATCAAAGCGTCTTGAACAAAAAATAATAATTTATAGGTAATAGCTAAAGTTACACATAAAAAAAGGCCAATAATATTTTATTTCTATTATAATGACCAATCCAATTTACACTGTAATAAAACAGTATTGATACTGCCATAATTTAGTTCTTTATTGGACTCGTCCAAAAATTCATACATGTTATAGAAGTGAGCAATTATATTGAATATGGCCAGACTCAGAGGGCCCTTTTCCCCTCACTATCGGGAATCGAACCAGGGTCGTTACGATCCGCGGGTCAATCGCGCGTCCCCTGATTACTGAACCCGGAAATTAAACCGTTTTCCCGTTAATGCCGTCCGTGGAAATTGGACCATTGACTCCGTTCCGAGGTCATCAGTCATCAGTGTATTATTATACGACAAGCGGTTAACTGTCCGGCAGTGTCCCTGATTGGGACGTGAATACGGATAGATGGGTTTTTGACGTACGATGTGTTAGAGATAATCGAATGACAAAATGACTAATAAACTGGTGGATGTCCCAACTACTAAGTACCTAATACCAGCCCAGAAGAGAACAAGAAATAGCCACGCATTCAAGTACCAGAGTTATCAACCAAGGATTGAGGTGTTCAAGAATTCATTCTTTCCTAGAACTATCGCAGAGTGGAACTCACTGTCACCAAGTACAGTAGGGGCATTGTCAATAGATAGCTTTAAACAATGTCTAGAGCTAGAAGTTCAAGGGTTAGGTGTAACAAGTCGATCGGTGTAATATAGCCAGCTGCCGCCGCGCCGCGTGCCTGCGAAGCTGGTGTGTTACGCCGAAAGGCGGTTATACCGGCTATACAGATACAGATACAGATACAGAAACCCAAAATGATTTCAGGTGGTAAAACTGGATTTTCAAACCTTTTTTGTGCACGGATCATGTCCTTGGTGCTGAAATGTATACCTACACCAGCAGTGCATGGGTTGTGTCCTTGGTGCTTCAATGTACTTGCACCAGTAGTGTACGGATCATGTCCTTGGTGCTTCAATGTACTTACACCAGTAGTGTACGGATCATGTCCCTGGTGCTTCAATGTACTTACACCAGTAGTGCACGGATCATGCCCTTGGTGCTGAAATGTACTTACACCAATAGTTCACCGATCATGTCCTTGGTGCTGAAATGTACTTACACCAGTAGTGAACTGATCATGTCCTTGGTGCTGAAATGTACTTACACCAGTAGTGAACTGATCATGCCCTTGGTGCTGAAATGTACTTACACCAGTAGTGAACTGATCATGTCCTTGGTGCTGAAATGTACTTACACCAGTAGTGAACTGATCATGTCCTTGGTGCTGAAATGTACTTACACCGGTAGTGCACGGATTCATAGCAAACGCATACCACTGATGGAAAAGGGTTGTTTCGTAGGCTGCTTCTAACATATTGGTGGTATCAGCAAATATCACCGAAACGAACCCCTCACGTAGCTTGTTTTGGGGCTATTTTAAACGCTTCAAGTACGAAATGGTGACGAAAATGTGCCAAGAAATGGCAGTAAATATCAATATCAGACAGCGTTCCTCATCCAAAATATTTTTGTTTTGTTTTGCCGCCCTGAAATTGCATTAGATGCATTTAAGTTGCACATTTTTGCACAAAATTGCACATTCCGGAAACCATTCCTGCAGATTTACAGCATCAACCTATCCTATAGGGAAAGGGTTTACATTGCTTATCGCTGATTTCATACATTCCAGTGTCTCTTTGAATGAGGAAAGCCCGAAATCGATTTTTTTTCTTTCGAACAGCGGAAGCTCATACCTACCTGTATGTACATGCTATCAGACAGTACACACTATCAATTGTACATCTAGCTCTATCCATCTCTTTTAATTCTCAATATCGACAAAACAATGAATAGCGAAGTGTTTTGTTCTCAAGCTTAAATTAAGATTGATCTTTATCAATTGGGATTGATACCGTACACCCGTGTTGGTCGTATTGTCGTCTCTTTTACCTCAGTGATAACAGCGACAAAACTAAAGAGAACTTATGGCGATAGACTATTACAAGGGGTATGAAACCAATGACAATGAAATGAAACATTTCCTGAAAATAGTTAAACGTGATAGGCATTATTCCATGAACAAAGACGTTTTGAGACAAATATACACTTCTGATGTTAGGTAACACCGAAGCTTGCAAGTCACCCTTGCAGTTCTTGATTTTTGCAGCCAGTTAATTCAATTTAATGCTGCCAGTGATGTAACAGTAAGCATGGTAGCTGATTCAGAACCTGGTATCACGGCTTGTTGAAAACGTTCTTTGGAGAAGCAAAGAAAAGCGAACAATCATAACTTGCAATTGTATGTAGTCGTGATAATTATGTATTATTTGCTTCTAGAAAGAACTTTTTAATTCATCTATGTATAATTTTTTGCCGTTTTTGCCATTTTTAATGGTGAATTATATGGCTTCAATTGGTTTTATTGCAAATTTGTGCCGGAGGGCTAATTGCAGGAACAGAAGAAACATTTGGTATAAAAACACACAGTACACATAGAACTACTGATAACTACTAAGAAACTACTAGTAAAGACTACTGGGTTTGACTTCTTTTTTGGAGACAGAGGAAGACAAAGGATCCCACTTTTTCTGTAATTTGTGGGTTTTCGGATGATAAGAGGAGAGTAGTTTTCAATATAAGTGGTACAAGAAAGGGGCACTTACCTGTAAAGTATATATATCGACCACTTCTATTTCGGTTATTTAATGGTAAGTGGAAGTACATTTATCTTCTGTCAGTGGCAGCGCACAATTTAGCGCTGGTTTCGTCGGGAGCAATTTAGTTTTTTTGTCAGGGATATAATCTACTCATTTCACGCACTATTGTCGTCCACAAGCCGGCCTATGTTTAGATTTGACCTGAGCCAAAAAGGTTAACATTCATAATATAAATCTGCAGGAGTTTGATTTCCAAGCAGATGCGTGGTGTCCATATTTGCTTTACGTCTTTTAGGAGGGTTCAAAATCTGTTAATAATAGTAGTAGTTGTTTATTGCAAATTCATGCCCTGTAATGCATACAGACATTGACAAGAAAAATGTGGTGATATAAGACTATTTGCTAACATGAACTTCTACGTGTACGATGTACTTATCGAACCAACTATCTCTATTTAAATCTAATAACATCATCATCTAATAACGTTGGTATGCATACAGGTTAAAAAGTAAATATGAAATATGTGAACAGGTAATAGGAACAAGGTAAATGCTATTCTAATCTATTCTATTCTATTAAACTATTCCTGTCATGCTATTAGGGGGTTTGACTTCTTCTAATAATAGTGGAATCTCATCTGAGAGATAAAATCACGAATGTTTGCCTTAATGGTGCACATAAAGAATACATTAATTTGAAATACTGCCTCAGTTGAGAAAGACAAAAGAGGAGAGACAGAGAGAAAGCACTGTTGCATTAAGCTGCGTTACGTAACATTAGGACAATACAAAAGGTACATTTTCTGGTGATTTCTTTACAAAGGAAGTTTAATCGCCTATAATCCATTGCAAATAAGAGCCATTCTGGAAGTGGCGGTACCACACAATATGACGCCTTATACGAGTGTGTTTTACAGCTGGAAACACAGCTGTCAGCCATGTTCTAGTACTTTATGGTGCCACCACAAACTGAATGCGCATCGGGTGGGTTGTTTAAGCGCCGGCCATAAATGTCAGAAATTTGAGATAAACGCACAAATATGTTGAAAAGTGGAAGTTAATTCCAATCACAAAAAGAGGTGTATATGGTGTGATAAAGCCTTGTCAGTTGCTATAACCACCGAATCAAACCACCGAGTGAGCGTAGTCATAATGCTTTTGTTGACAAATATTGAACCCTCTTAATGCTAAGGTCACATTTCCAAACCGGGGCCCGGTCGGGTAGCTTTCGGGAACGAAAAGTATGATAATAACACAGAAACGTTTTGATAATAATCATGGGCACTATATCTATATTCATATATGGATTGTTAATTTTTCGTTCATACAGACTGCCCGGCCGGGCCCCGGTTTGGAAATGTGACGTAAGCATAAAAGACATAACGAATAGACACCATATAATATCTACTACCTTCTATAATGCCCCCTTAACACTGCCTTCTCACCTGTAGTTTTGGGTAGTCCTTCAGGTGCCCCGGAAACAGTTCATCCACGCTAAGGAGCGCCTCGAACAGCAAGACGTCCGCCATGGAGAGCGCCCCTCCCACCAGGAACCCTGTGCCGCTATCTTCAAGGACCTGCAAGACAAGATAACAGTATCTGGTATTATCCTATGTTCTTCGAGAATGCTTCGGGTTATTTCGCGCGGTTGACGTCATCTGGAGCCGTTACCATGGAGACAGACTGATCGGACTCGGCCCATCTCCTATAGTAGAAAAATGTCGTCAGATGTGAGTTGATGAAAAATCATTACCTTTCTTCTTCTCCTTCCTTTTTCTTCTTCTTCTCTACTACCCTCCAACAACCCCACTGAGGGGGGGGGGCTTACTGCAAGGGAGCCCTATGGCCTAAAGGCCTCTACTGACTGTGCTTGTATAGCCTGGGTGGACAACGTATTCTATTCCATTCACGTATAGAACGTGAGAAAAAAAAGAAAATTAAAGCTGTCCTTTGCTGCAGGGATGAGGTGATATTTTAGGGCATGGCTGCCTCTGGTGCGTCGCTGGGTGGGTTTAAGGTATTGTTCCATGTGCACCTGACCGTGAATTATTACGTATACAAGCTAATTTTAGTATTTAGAATTATTTAAGATCAGCATGATAGAACATTATTTTCAAGGAGTGAGTTTTAAAATAGAAATACATTAAAATCAGATAGACACTACAAATTAAGACAATTTACGACATTGCAACAGATAAGTGTTGATTATTGTGCGGTACTGCATACTGCATTTTTGCTTCCATTTTATCCCATGGCCAGACATGAATCAGATTTGACAGGCGGTAAGTGCCGGTGGCGACGGCAGGTCGGCCTCCGCTGCTGCTGCTGCAGGAATTTTGATGAAGTTTTATTTGCACGACGTGACCAACATGACAAGAATGATACTTTTAGAACACAACAACTACCTTAAACCACAGACGCCCCCATACTAATCCTAGATAAGCGTGACAAATACTATATTGATCTGGGACAATTTTCGCTTTCTGTGTGCCCCCGTTTTCCTGGGCCCACCCCGATTACATAGATTACATTGTACCTTGCACAAGTATGCACGCACGTGGCAACGAAATGAGAGCTATTCAACTACTACCTTCTGTTCGAACGTTAACCGACATTCCGTTGGATCAACACTGAATATTGGCACTGTATATCTATCATCTCCCTATTGTGCTTGCGGTACCAAATAACTACTAGTGCGGTGCGTGTATTTGAATGAGTACGTCATGCAGTATAAAGCCATTATATAACCCACAGGCCCCTTTCTTCTGTAGGGATCCTTCTGTAGTAGAAAGAGAATAGATGATACACAAGATAGTTTTGCCACGGATGTTCTTAGCCGAAATAAAGAGTATAAATATAGAGGGGGAGAGAGAACGAGAGATAGACAGGGACAGAGACAGAGAGAGAGAGAGAGAGAGAGAGAGACAGAGAGAGAATAACATGCCAGGAGTTTCAGAGCGGCAAACTGTACTCCTTTAGGCCAACTGCTTTGGCATATTATCAATTTCTACTCTTTCCAGCGCCTCTGACGCCTGGTAGATGATTCACTATATGGGAATGAGGGAAAATTAAATACATGATCATAAATGTACAAAATGACTAATAAACTGGTGAACATACCAACCACTAAATATCTGATACCAGCCCAGAAAAGAACAAGAAACAGTCATGCCTTCATGATCAAAAATCAGAGTTATCAACCAAGAAAAAGAACTGAGGTGTTCGAAAACTCGTATTTCCCAAGAACTTTTGTAGACTGGAACTCGTTGCCACCAGGCATTGTTGGAATGTGCAAAGATTGAGTGTAACAATTGCAAGTCGTTCGGTGTGATATAGCTGGCTGCCGCCGGTAACTGCCAAAGTCATACTTATCTAGGTCTTTATGTTTTAAACGTAGTCAAGTACACATGTGGAGTACACTGCTGCAAATCAGTGCTTTATCTTTACTGTAACATTAAGCGACCTTAAAGATCAAGTAAGGATACGTTTATGTTTAAGGAGACTTTACGTTGTTCCTTCACAGAGTGTAAAAATTGCCTGTCGATTGTGGCATTTACGATGGCTTAAATACTGCTTAATTATTTTGAAATATTTAAGCCTTATTTACGAACACCATTAAGCATGCTTAAATATCGTTTTTGCCGCGTCGCGCGTGCCTGCGAAGCTGGTGTGTTACGCCGAAGGGTGGTTATACCGGCTACGGTTCTCGTACACAGGCATGCGGTGGGTGCGGCACAGGTGCGACCGGAAGTCACGCTCCAACGCCTGCCATGTGACTTCCCCCTGACGGGAAACATTTCTGAGTGACGTGAGTCACAAGAAAGAAACAGCGCTCGGCTGTGAAACAGAACCAGGCTCAAACAAGGGCCAAAAATAGCCTCCACCAGGCCTTTCTACGGGAATACGAATCCTAGAATTCGGCAAAAAAAGAGACTAAGGCCAAGGGAGTCCGGCCGCGGGGAGGTAGCTTCTTCAGTCGAACCTACAAGGCGGCCAAATTCCCCTGGCAAATATTCTCTATATATAGCCAGCGTAGTTAGTCTGGTAGAGACTAGGCCAAAAAGGTCGCCGTCATGATCATGCTTGTGCCACGAAAACATTGGTGGTCACACCTGGTGCTTTGGTGCATACTTCACATAGTCACAAGCTTGAGTTCGATACCTGCTTGACATAACTCACATCATTCACTGGCATACCAACCTTAGAACCCGACGGAAGTTTTTTCCACACGGATTTTGTCGGTGAAGCATTCTAGGTGTTGTTTTGCAGAGTTTGTCCGCTATGATTCACCAACTTAAGTTTCAAATACCTTCTTGACATTTGGTTACTGTGGCTTGACATTTGAACAAACAAGGACGGCCTTGGTTAGAACACTAAGTACGCACATCACGCACACCATTCGCTAGCATCCTAACCTTCCAACCCAACGCAAGTTTTTTCACGGATTTTGTCGGTGCACTATTCTCGGTGTCCTTTTGGAATTCACAAACTTAATAAGTTTCAAATACCTCCTTGGCATTTGGTTTGTGGCTTGACATTTGGTTAGAACACTAACTACATCACGCACACCATCCACTAGTGTCCTAACCTCACAACCCAACGCAAGTTTTTTCCACAGATTTTTTTGGGTGAACAGTGTTCTACGTACGTGTTCTCTTCTAATCAGAGTCCGCCCGCCCTATACTTGGAAGCATAAGTACACATCATTCACTAGCACCATGCAATCTCACAACCCGACGTACATTTTTTCCACGGATTTTGTCGGTGAACTATTCTAGGTGTTCTTTTGTAAGCGGGATTTGTTCACTATGATTCACAAACTTAATAAGTTTCAAGTACCTGCTCGGCATTAGGTTTGTGGCTTGACATTTGGTTAGAGTATTAACTACATCACGCACATCATTCAATAGCATCCTAACCTCACAACCCAACGCAAGTTTTTTCCACGGATTTTGTCGGTGAACTATTCTAGGTGTTCTTTTGTAAGCGGGATTTGTTCACTATGATTCACAAACTTAATAAGTTTCAAGTACCTGCTCGGCATTAGGTTTGTGGCTTGACATTTGGTTAGAGTATTAACTACATCACGCACATCATTCAATAGCATCCTAACCTCACAACCCAACGCAAGTTTTTTCCACGGATTTTGTCGGTGAACTATTCTAGGTGTTCTTTTGTAAGTGGGATTTGTCCACTATGATTCACAAACTTAATAAGTTTCAAATACCTGCTTGGCATTAGGTTTGTGGCTTGACATTTGCATCAGCATCTCAACCTTTCAAAGTTCCATGGATTTTGTCGGTAAACCATTCTAAGTGTTATTTTGTACACAGAGTTTGTCCGCTTTGATTCACAAACTTGCTTGGAAATTGTTTGGCTGCTTGACCTTTGGTTAAAAATTAACACAACTACATCACGTACACCATTCAATAGCATCCCGACCTTACACCCCGAGGCAATTTTTTTTCCACGGATTTTGTCGGTGAACTATTTCAGGTGTTCTTTTGTACGTACAGTCCGCCCGCCCCCGCCTATTCAGTTCAGCACACCATACAGTAATCACGCTGGCAGAAAAAGCAAGCACGCCAATCTAATTTGTTGGTTCTCAGATTTTTTTTCAGAGAAAATATGAAGAGATGGGGCCGAAAAAAATAAAAACAAGCCTAGGCATCCTACGATATCCCTAAATGCTATGATAACAGCCATGAAGTCAACATACTGGCCTGGTTTGTAATCCAAACAATGAATTTAAAACTTTTAATCAAACCGCTGCATTGATAGATGGAAAAACTTTAACAACTCTGTTTTAGAGAATTCGAAGGGAGTTTCTTCAAATGTTGTGGCCACATTTTTACATCTCGGAGGTCATTTAAAACCTGAAATGCTTTTTTTTCGGCAAGGCAGAAAAAATAAAGCGGGCGAGTCCGAGAACCAACTCTTCGGAAGACGGGTGCTTCGCGTAACATACAGAGTTTGTATAGAAAAAAAAAACTTTATACGTGGGATATGCTCATGACGTCGGAGCACACAGAGTTTGTATAGATAGAATTCTTCCTAGAAAAAAAACTTATACGGGACATGCTCACGACGTCGGAGCACACAGAGTTTGTATAGATAGAAACCTTCCCTAGAAAAAAAAACTTATACGATGGGGTCGTGTGGCGTAGCGGCAGAGTGCTCGACTCGGAACCAAGAGGTCCCGGGTTCGAGTCCTGACATGCCACCGATCTTGTGCCCTTGGGAAAGGCACTTTATACGACTTTCCTCACTTCGCTCAGGTGAAAATGAGCATTGTATTGTCCCTTGTGTTGGTAGCGGCATTAATATAAGTTGAAAAAACTTGAGTGTGTTGTCACCACGTCCTGTGATTACATGTTGAAATATAAAAAAAAAACTTATACGGGATACGCTCACGACGTCGAAAGATGGGTGCTTCCCGTAACACACCGAGTTTGTATAGATGATAGAAACCTTTCCTAGAAATAAACTTAATCGTGACAGGATGCGCTCACGACGTCGAAAGACGGGTGGGTCCCATGACACACTTATAGATAGAAACCGTCCCAAGAAAAAAATC